CACAGTTTGCACTTTAACCTCACCGTCAACTCACACCTGCTGGCTCCGGGCTTCCTGACGGAGAGGAGGTACGGAGGCCTGGATGGGGCCCAGATCCATCCTCCTGGATCCTCCCAGTGCCATTTTTTTGGTAAAGTGTGGGATGAGGCCACTGTTAAAGGCAAGGCAGCCATAAGTACCTGTGATGGACTGGTGAGTGTATAAACAAGTTGTCATTGGAAGTTGTATTTGAATGGATGCCAAGTTTTCAGCTGCAGCAGGGGGTGTTTCAGAGTTAAGTGTGTGTAATAAGGTGTGAATATCAAAACTGCATCAGTGGATGTTCAGACCTCAGAATTAACCAACAACCTGAGGGTTTTTAGACGGCAACTACCATTTCCAAAAAAACATAGATATGTCTGAGGTTATCTTCTGTTTAGACTTAAGCAATTACTCCATCCAGATAATTCACTCAGTTTGACAAATCAATATTTTCCCCATAAACATATTTGAAGCAGTGGAGCATACAGTATACTGTTCACACATGCAAAGGCACCTTTTGGTTTTACTGTTAACATTTATTTATTTTTCTGTAAAAGTAGTCACATTTTAGCTGTGAAGCACAGTCAGATATTCATTAAAATGCTTTTGTCTTACAAATAGAGTTCACTCAAAAAAAGAACCTCATGATAATACATTTCACATGATTTACTAGATTAAAGAATAAAGACATTTCAGACTGAAGCTTCTGTTGTGTTGCATACAACAGAAGGTGAAGCTGTGCAGATACTGCTTAAAATTAAGCAGGATTATTAAAAAAAAGATGCTTATAAAAATGTATACTTCCATCAGAATGCATTTCTTGCAGTGTTGAGGTATCACATTCCTGCAAAGTTCAGGTCAGGCTAAAAACACAAAAATGTAAAAATTCATTGCAGAGTCACTGGTAGAATAAACGTTGCAGAGGTGCAGAGGCAGCTTAACATTTACAGAGATTCACAGTACACAAATAGTGCAGGGATGACTGCTGTTATTTACTGAGCAGAGGGACATGTAATGTAAAGGTGTTTTAAGGTAAATAGTTTGCTAGCCTATGAGTCAGCCATGTTGACGTTTTCCAACAGGTAATACTAGCTTCAATCCTTGGTGCGAGAGGACTAGTAAACTAAAAGCACGTTCACGTATTGATTGACAGCCTTGAGGTCCCAGCCCAGACTTCTCTGATTTATTAGAAGCTTAGGCCTTGCTAAAAAAATTTAAAAGGGAATACCTCTGCACTCCTGCCAGGCTGTTCAGTGAGTGTGGGTCATAGCAGCATTTTGACAACACCTGTCCACATCAATTTATGTGTTGGAACATATTTCAGATAGAAAAAAATAGAAAGAAATTGAATACTTTAGTTTTAATAAAACATTTGCAGGGGTGATGAGAACACCAACTTAGAGCCCTCCTTTTCTTCAGACAGGACTGTTCAAGCTGCTGGATGAAGAGTTTTTCATTTACCCTCTGGAGAAATCGAACGATGAGACCGCAGCACCACAGGCACATGCCATCTACAAACGCCATGCGTCCCCTGCCATCCGGAGTCCAGTTGTGCAGCCAATCTCAGGGAAACGAGCTCTCAACAGTACCTGCGGAGTCAAAAGTAAATGACTTTCTTTTTTCACCACACACTAGCGCACACACTCATATTGTACATGTGAATATGCAAACCCTAAAAATAAAGTCCCAGCTACAAGTTCAATACTTACAGCTTTATCTTTTGTTATTCGTTTCCGGAAATTGAAGTAGTCAGGATAAGTAGCCCACGTTATGCCAAGACTCATCAACTGACTATTAATAAGACTGGGCAGTGAATTATCAGAATGAAGGAAATCACTGATCACACTTCCTCACCTTTCATGAGTCTGTCCCCAGTTAATAATCTGCAAAGGTCTGAAGAATAAAATCAGTTAAATTTAGCAGCTAATAAACCAGCTACTTAAAATTCTGGGTGGACTTAAAAGAAAAGTGAGCATCTTCGAGAGATATTAAGAATTCACTAAGTCACTAAGTCCCCCCACCCCCCCATCATCAGCCAGAACCGCACTGCTAAAAGTTGCAATACAATAAAGTCATCATTATTATAGAAAAGGTTTACAGACAGTTAGTAAGGTGTGACATCTTATAAAAGCACTTACTGGCAGATACAACATATTTTAACACAGAGGTTACTGCATTTTTAAGTTACTGTAAATTGATTACTCTTTAATGAATGAATAACATAATGAATATGTATCAACTTGATATTTTACTGACAGAAAGGATAATAAAGCAGAGTCACCATGAGCAAATGTAGGACTTGATTCCTAATAAAGTATATACAATACCTGATGTGCTATGTCTGCATAGCGTGTCTCAGCAAGAATGTTTTCCATGTCTGTTTCTGTCTTCCACCTGAAGATTCCCATCAAAGTTTTGGAGACATTGAGAGGAGTCGTGAGCGCTGGGAGAAACATAGAAGAAGAAGGAGAATTCATCAGCGCTCAGTTAGCAAAGAGAAGTGGGTGGAAACATTGGTGGTGGCTGACCCTAAAATGGTGGAGTATCATGGCAGCAAAGCTGTCGAAGGCTACATCCTTGCTGTCATGAACATTGTAAGTAGGAGTATGTGTTAATGTTGGAAGTGTCAGTCCATTTGTCATACACAGAATTTGAAGGAGTATTTAAAGCGACTGGGAAATACACTTGCTTTATTACTGAAAGTTAGATGAGCTGATGCTCTTTTTATACCCACAGTTATCTAAGCTTAGCATAATGACTTAGCATAAAGAGGTCAAAAATATGCCCAAAATCAAATTCCAGACTTAACATGGGAGAGCTACAGGACGTTTGAACATCTTCTGAGATGTTCTGAATGATATTGCTGTGTGAGACTAATGTTTTTCAGTTTTCCCATCCTTGTGTCAGTTAACGCAAGAGAAGGATTAAACAGTTCTCATCTGGCTTTTCTCAACCATGACTCCCTTGCCCTTCACAGTTGTTGTTGTTACTACCACCTACTTTGGGGTAAAATAAACTGACTCATTATCAGCACATACTCTACAGTAAGTGGCTTTTCCAAGATAAAGCCATGTTTGCTCTTACATGGCTGTAGCAGCCACTGAAAGTGCTGTCAGAGGACCAAATATCAGGAAAGGCAGTGGCAGAGAAGCCCATGGATTCACCGACTTAACAGACAACAATACATGGAAGAAGTAGTCATTATTCCCCACATCCTCTCGTGATCCTTTTATGAGTCCTCTTCACTCCCACTTTGAATTTATACACCACAAACAACTGAGGTTTATGAAAACAATCTTGCACCAAGAGAAACAACCTCTCACCTATTATGTCCAAACAATAAGTAATGGCATCATCTTCCTAAGCCAGCAGCTGCTCCATTGTCCCATCACTAACACTGTGTATAGTGCATTCTGCTGTACTGTAAGCACCCAGTGGTATTATTTGCACTCATAGCCATGACAGTCAATCTCAGCAGAAAGATATTTGAAGCCATTTCACAAAAATAGCACTCAACACTTATTCACATGATGGATTGTTGTATTTGCTTTGAGATATTCATCATTTCTCTGTGTTAACAACTAAGCAGCCCATAAAGACATACAGTAAAGACTGATGCAGTGGGAATTCACAAGTACTGTTTAAGCCTTGGGATTAGCTGCTAATGCACAGTGTCTGGCTAGAGAGGAAATGTAAAATCAACCACTGTAGCAAATTAAAAAAAAGGAGATTTAACTAGCTGCTGCTATGTTTTTATCCATTTATCCATCCATTTTCTTCCATTTATCTGAAAATGGGCTGTGGTGGCAGCAGGTACAGTAAGGTTGTCCAGATGTCCCTCTCCCTGGCAACATTTTCCAGCTCTTCTGGTGTGATTCTGAGGCGTTTCCAGGCCAGATGAGACATGTAATCTCTCCAGTGTGTTCTGGGTCTACCCTGGGGTCTCCTCCAGAAGACCTCCAAAGGGAGGTGCCTGGAGGCATCCTGATAAGATGCCCAAACCACCTCACCCTTCAGGCCCCTTCTAGATGTTCAGACTCTGCACCCTTTCTTTAACACTAAGTCCAGCCACCCTGTGAAGGAAACTCCTTCCAGCTGCTTGTATTTGTAGTGGAGCATAGACTGACTGGTAAATTGAAAGTTTTGCCTTTCAGCTCAGCTCCTTCTTCACTGTGGCTTAGGAGATAGAGCGGGTCACCTCCTAACTGGAAGGTTGGCGGTTTGATTCCCAGCTTCTCCAGTCCATGTGCCAAAGTGTCCTTGAGCAAGACAATTAACCTCCACTTGCTCCCGGTGATGTCACCGGCGTGTAAATGCATGAGTTGTTGGGAGTGCGAATGGGTGAATGGCCTAGTAGTGTGAAAGCGCTTTGAGTGTGTTGCAATGCATAGAAAAACGCTTATACATATAAGGAATGAGCTTTTAAAATTGCAAGATTGATTCAGCTGCAAGATGTGCACCACAGATTTCTGAACAAGCACTACAATGGCTGCAGAGTTTTGATGAATTACTGTAAGTTCTCTATATTTGTCAAAGCTGTTTTTTAAGTGCCTCAGTTACACAACAAACAATAGACAGTTTAGTGTGTATGTTTTCCCTGACAATAAGAGAAATGAAAGGAATTTAGAAGTGTTGCTTCTATGGCTCTGTGTAATAACAGGAATACGGTTATTTTTAAGGTTTGATTGTTGTCCTTTCTGCACAATGAAGTTTTGAAATGAATGTGTGTTTTTAAAAAAAAATCTTTGTAGCACATTTCTTTTCTGACATATTTAAAAGTTTCTACCACTTTGCCTCTTGGCAGCTACAGTACCTGTTTTCTCTCGGTCATAGTTGCTTATTTATTGCATTAACTGTTTAATTAGGATTATGTTTGTCTACCCAGTGTCATAGTAGGTATGCCAGCACCCAGATGTTTAATGAATTTTTTTTTCCAGGTGTCGGGTCTCTTTCAAGATGCGAGTATTGGAAACGCAGTCAACATTGTGGTTGTTCGACTCATCCTACTGGAGCAGGATGAGGTAAAACATAGCAGCGTATGTTGATGAAAAGTGGTTGAATAAGGATTATGGTATCTTATAAAGGAAATGAGCTTTATTCGTCCAACCATGCTTAACTGAATGCCTATGTGTACATTAGTGATGTGATGACATCCATGACAGGGTTTTCACTATGTCGGAGAATCAAGATCAAAATAAATATTTCAAACTAACAGGTAATTCATGTTAATTAACTGAACCCACAAAAAATAATTGTAAACTGCTGCATGCAGTAAAACTGAAGTTGTGTTCTTCCAGTATTTATGCTAAGCTAAGTTAGCTGACTGCTAGCTGTAGCTTCATATCTTATTGCTCCATTTTGTGTCCAGCAGGTGTTCTATGAATGAAACCTGTGTACATAGAGCTTTTGTTTGTGTACTCACATTCATAATGACTCATGCAAAGGTTATTCAAGTTCAAAATTATTTCTGCTTTTACTTATCACTAGTCACTTATCAGATAGAACTTAAAATATTTCCTGTATTGTCCCATGCAGCAGCAGATAAAAAGATATACAATAGGAAGTAGCAAATGAATAAAATAGAATAGAATATCTTTTATTGTCATTGCACTGAAAAACAATACAATGAAATTTAAAAGACAGCTCTCTTAGAGATACTTTCGTTACCCACACACTCACACATCTCACTCTATACAGATAAGTTCATTAAAAACACAAGAAGCACATGAAATATTAAAATTAGAATTAAAAATTATTAAAACTGCATTGTGATAGTTACACACAGTTGCTCACATGAAACAAGTCCAAGAGCAAATCAGCATCCATGCAATAAGATAACAGAGGTGGGGGCTCTTTGCTAAGCCTTCTTTACTACAGCAGTAGTGTTTAGACCGCATTTTAGGTTATTGCTGATGTGAGTCTCTAGGAACCTTCTCCGCCTCCTCCCACCCAGAACGAATCTCTCCAAGCACTTTGAGACAATTGATGTTAAGGCCACTGTCCTATAGTCATTAAGGGAGCTGATGTTAGATTGTTTGGGCACCAGGATGATGGTAGCAGATTTTAGACTGGCCTGAACAGTAGCATGCACCAGAGAGAGATGGAAAATGTTAGAACCTCTGCAAGCTGGTGAGAACAGTCCTTGAGAACCCTGCCTGGGATCCCATCCGGGCCTGCTGCCTTCTTGACATTTACAGATTTCAAAACATGTTCAGCCTCATGTGTCTGCAGGGTAAACAGAAGTAAAGTCAATTTAAGTATAACAATTGATAAAAGTGTGAAAAACCAAGCAAATGGCACCGATTTGTACCATTCTCTGTGCAGAATAGCACTAATTGCACACAGACAAATTCAAATAAATCAGTTCAGGTGATCAACAATAGTTATCACTGACCGCCTACTGACACAAGGCTTTTTCTTGAACTTTCATGCAATCACTAGGTAAGTGGGCAGCTTGAAGGTTTCTTTTTCAAATAACCATTTCAGAAGCTCTGAGTTATTCATACAGCAACTAGCCACTCACTTGTCTCCTTAGTATCATAAAAAATCACAACATTTTCAATACAAAATAATGTAATTTGTTTATACTTCTTTAAGAGTACACAGAGCCATGTACCCACTCTAATCTGGACACACAGATATTTTTTTGCAGGAAAGACACATTTATTATGTATATTATTTTTAGATTTTAAATAATCTTTTTCCCTAGGAAATATAGTATTAAACTTCCCTATTTTAAAATGATCATTTTCAAACCCATATTTACAAGTTCATCATTTTGCAGTACTGTCCATGTATACCTCATATGCTATTTGCACCTCATCACCAAGGCTGTGTTGATGCTGAACCATCTGACAATCTCCTATTATTGTTTTGCACTACTGTCACTGACTGTACATGGTTTTAAGTCACAGCTTATTGGCTGTACTGTTCAGATTTCTCCTAATTATGTTAATCCAGTTCTTATTCTGTTCTATTCTATTTTTTCTACTTCTACTTTCTATTCTAGTTCCTAAATGTTATGGCACCCAATACTAGGTGAGAGAGAAACGGTATTTTGATTTTCTGTATGTCCTGCACATACGGTGAATTGACAATAAAACCTGAACCTGAGCCTTATCCAAGGCTCATTTTGTTGCTAATTCCATTTAAATATTGGTTTGTAAATTATTTCCCATTATTGATTAACCTGTTTCACGCCAACACAAACTTGTGACTGAATGTCACAGAGCTCCCACCTATCTCACCCACCTGTTATTACAACAGAATATATGGGATGCACAGAACACAAACAGGTGTTTACCTAAGGTTATACAGCACATATGCTTTTACCTTTTTTTCTATGAATGGTGGCCCACTAAAATCAAATAGTAAAACCAGTTATGGTGCAGTTTAGCTGAACATTGTGAAGTTGCTTTTAGAGCCATTTCCATCAAGTAGAACCTGAAGTTTTGTCTTGACTGTGCACTGATAATGGCCCATTTTGTACACCTATAGTATATTAACTACTCATTTTTGATCTGTTTACTGTGTGTTCTTACCCTTCATCTCAATCTGACCTGGATAACAGGATGACTTAAAGATTACGCATCATGCTGACAACAGCTTGAACAGCTTTTGTAAGTGGCAGAAGAAACTAAACATGAAAGGAGATGAACACCCCCTGCACCACGATGTAGCAGTTCTGCTCACCAGGTAAATTAAACGTTAATTCAGTAAGCTCTGTTTCTGATTCAACTACAAATAGTCACATTTCCAAAAGCAGTCAATTGGTAATTTGTTTTTATCAAGGTAGGTAGGTAGGTAGGTAGAACTTTATTGATCCCGCAGTGGGGAAATTCCAGCGTTCCAACAGCAGTAGGGACAAAAACAACAGAGAGCAAGCAACAAGACACCATAAGAACAGATACCACACACCGATTTTGATAGACAAGGTCATATCAGAGCTGTTATTGACTTAGTTGTAGAGAGACAAAGATGCATTCAATTTTTATTAAGCATTCTTAATTTGTCGTCTTGTGTTGTCATGTCATCAGCTACATTAAACTGTACCACCATTAACAGATCTCTGAACACTGTTTCAGAATTTTATTGTAGCTACCCAGAGGTTCTCCATGGATGGCTGTTTGAAATGTCTTCTTGCATGTCGGAAAACACCTCATAACCTTTGCTAGTTGACAGATGGGGCTAATTTCCAGACCAGATTTTGACAACATAGAGTAGAGAAGCTGGAATAACAACAGAAGAGCTGTAGGTGGTTCAGTATATATCCGAGTGGGTTGGGTTTGCAGGATATATCTGAGAAACACAATGTCCTGTCCCATTTCCGTTTGATTTATTAGACCATGTAAAATCTTAGTCAATGCACCTGAACTTTATCCTGTGTTGAGCAGATCCCAGTCTCTGGTTGTTGTAAGGACATATTTGTTGTTGTACACTTTCTTACCTTACTTTTGAGGTGATGGAAAGGGATGGATAGAGACCCGTTATCAGTGAGGAGGAAAAACACAAATGTCAAAGAAGAAATAGGTCAGATCAGATGTTGAAAAATGAGAAGGTAACAATGGGTTCGATGGAAGATCAAGAGGAGAGTAATTGGCAATAAGAAGTCACACCAAAGACAAGGATGTTGGATGAATGAGAAGAGACCATCACAACAAATGAGTATTTTCTTGCCTTTTCCCATCTTATCTCACGCTGTGATTTCCTTTTGATGTATTTCTTTCATCTTTGTCTATAACTTTCTCTTGTCATGACTCACCCTTTCAGTGGTTTTGATGTGTATGTCGCTCCAGATATTCTTCATGCTCCCTCTCTTCCTCCTCCCTGGCCGATGCAGCATCAATCACTTTAAGATCCCACTGTATTTTTCTGCCATGTTCAACTTTGATTGTTTCTGCAACTGTGTTTTTCTCTTCAAAAGCATCTTATTCTTCTTGTCTTTCTTTGGCTCCTGGCCTTTTGGATGGCTTTGAAAACTTTCTATACCTAAAGTTGGAACACATCAACACATTCAACAAAAACTGAACATTATAACCCTCATGAAGGTAAAATTTATTACAGGCGTGTTGCATTAACTTTGCTCATACTGGGTGTATCTATTTGAAGATTGCACTGAGTGAGATATTTGTACCAACAATGTTTTTAATGGATATTTTCATGTACATCAAATGTTCATATTAGAAACATGTTGTGCATTGTATCAAACCAATTTCCAGATGTCTGACTGGCACCTAACTTTTCACAGGAAGGACATCTGTGCAGCTATTAATAGGCCTTGTGAGACTCTGGGTCTGTCGCATGTGGCGGGGATGTGTCAGCCGCATCGCAGCTGCAGCATTAATGAGGACACGGGTCTGCCGTTGGCCTTCACTATAGCACATGAGCTGGGACACAAGTAAGGTTTCACTGCGCACACTTAAAAAAACATGTAGTACACACATGATAATAATTTATGCTTTATGTTTACATTGCCAAACCATCATCAGAATAATCTAGATGATTAAAAAAGATACTGAACACTTATTTTGTCGTGTCTCCAATACCATGGCTCTGGTGATCCCTAACTTGGCCATGGCAGTCTCTGGCAGAAAACAAAACTGTGCAGACACCATGTGCCTGATGTTTGCTCGGACGCGCTTATTGTCTACCTCCAGGATGTCGTTCAACTCTGCCAAGATGGTCACTTCCCGGTGATAGATAATCAGATGCTAAAAGGTCCAGGTAAATCTTCCACTGTAGTGTGTGAACTGCTGGGCCCATGATGGCTGGATGGCTGTCGCGTTTCAATTAATGAAACAGCAAACTAAGTAGAGAAGGACCCAAGTGCAGTACACACACCAGGCTGGTAGGAAGATTAAGTTAAATTGATTAATGAACACAAAAGGGGAAAAAGATTGGCTTACTATGAGTCTAAACTGAGCAGGGAGTTTCTGAAGCAGAGCGAGTCCAAAGCAGTGTCAAAATCATGCAAACAGTGCTGACTGAATAATAATAATAAACTGTAGTGTCCAAAACCATGAAACAGGAGGAACATGATGAAATAACAATATTGATAATAATAATAATAATATTTATGTAACTGAGTGTGTGCGTGTGCATTTTTATTTATGAAGGATCTTTTCATTCTGCCTGTACTACCACTGTAAGAGTTCTGTCTATTTATTTATAACGAGGTATACAATGAAACTTGGCATACAGAACATATTAACCAAGGGAGCTAATTACAGTGAGTGAAGACAAGTGTGGGGTGTGTGTGTGTGTGTGTGTGTGTGTGTGTGTGTGTGTGTGTGTGTGTGTGTGTGTCAGGGTCAGGACTGGATATTGATGGAATGAGTGAGAGATGAAAAACTGGGGAAGTCTGGATTCATTTGGAAACTGGAAAAGGAGCAATAGTCCAGAGAACAGTCCAGATTGTAGTAGGGCCAGGAAAACATGAAGCAGAGGCAGGAACAGGAACAGGACTGGAACTGTGACAGGAAAAGCTTCCAGGATGATGAGTACTAAAGTGTTTGGTGATTGTAATGCTGCGGTTGTTGGAATTAAAAATTTCCCAAATCTAATAAAAGCAGGATAACGCTACTAACCCTGCATTTTAGATGTGGGATTCAGGAGCAGCTTTCACACAGTGAGGAAGCACTACACAGTGGGTATGCTGTTGTGAACAGGGATTGGTACACTACCTGTAACCCCACATAATAAAGGGTAGGAATTAGATATGTGTGTCTACAATGATTAGAGTTTAGATGATGATGGAAACTTTCTGAGCAATCGTGAGGTTCATGTTGATATGCACTGAGTTGATGGACCTGTACCACTAAGTTGAAGTTCTGTTACATTGTTCTGCTTCTTGCTCTTTAGATATCATTCATCATTCCTTATTGCTATGGTTCACTAACAAAACAGAGACCTGATGATGTCACCCTCTTCCTTGTCAAGTTCAGATTTTTTTAGGTTGCTTTTTTTTTTTAACCAGCATTTTAGCACCATTATTAGAAATGCTTCTGAAGCCTGTTTAATTCCCTTTGCAGTCATCATGCAGCTGTTGAACATAATGGTCGCCATTTAAGCGAGAACTCTGTGTTCATGTGTGTTGTTTACTTTTGCCTTCTGTTATTGCAGTGACTTTGTGACTCCCCACAACAAAGTGGATAAATGTTTAATTGCTCTCTCTTTGGGATGTGCTTTTGTGTAACAGCTTTGGGATTCAGCACGACGGCAGCAGTAATGACTGTGAACCCATTGGGAAGCAACCTTTCATCATGTCTCCACAGCTCCTCTATGCCACCTCCCTGCCCAGGTGGTCACGCTGCAGTCGCCAGTATATCACCCGCTTTCTAGAGTGAGTGCCACATGTGCTGTATGACTACACTTTTGTCTCACATATGACTCTGAGTTTGTGTGTCTGTGCTCAAAGTTTCATGTGCCCACAGCATTTTGAACGCATCAATATAAAGGTGTTGCTGGCGATTATTAATATACTGTGGGTATATATTTTGTTAGTTTTCTATTTAACATCTGGTCATGGAGATGGCATTTATTCTTGTAGGCCAACTCTGGTTCAGTAGTGTTTTGATTTTGATGATCAGAGGTGGCAACAGTACACACATTTGTTACACAAGTAGAAGTACTGACTCAAACTCTTCATTTGATTAAAAGCAGAAGAAAGTACAGGCTCTTCTACCAACTGTTTCTGTGCAAGCTTAACTGAAACTTAGAAGAAGAAGAAGCTTTATTTTATTGTCATTGTAACATGTACAATGAATTTTTGTTTGGAGCCGAGGGCCCCGGGCCGTTGGGTGCATACGTGCCACCATCACAGGCAACTTGGGGGGGTTCAGTGTCTTTCCCAAGGACACTTCGACATGTGAACTGCAAGCACCGAGATTCAAACCTTCAACCTTCCAGTTGGGAGACGACTGCTCTACCCACTGCACCACTGTCGCCCCTTTATGTCATATTAATATATTTCCAAGACTAATAAACCGTTCTAGCTTCAAATAAACAAAAATAATTAACATTATCTAAGAAGAACATATTTCAGGTCTGCCTTAAAGAATAAGGCTGGTCATTTTCTATATTAATAACCTTTTCAGCTATCCCCAAGCAGAGCCGAAGTCAGTCTCCAACTTGGATTATCTCGGATTCGTCTGTGTCATAGACCTCCACTGTTGTTCAAAAAGAGTTAAAAATACATCAGTGAAACACACCGCTGCACTGGGTGACATGTTTCTGCATTATGAAACACAAGATTAGTACATTTGTTAAAAATGTTGCCTCAAAGGCTTCAAACGACCATAGGTTTTTACAGCGTCTGGCGTACAGCAAGACTCAATTGTGTATTTGTAAGATCTCCCTGACTGTAAACAAAGCAGAGAGCTTGTAGTGAAGAAACATGTTACTCTTTGCAGCGTTGTGCACATTTTGCAATAAGTACTAAATAGGAATAATTGATAATTCCCCTCAAATATATTAAAACTAAAAGTAACAAGTCTGGTTTGAAAATGTCATGAGTAGAAAGTAGTTATTTGTGTTAAAATATAGCGAGTAAAAATAAATACTCAAATAGAGTAGAGATACCTGAAAAATCTTTTTAAGTAGAGTAACGAAGTGTCAAGTATTTGTACTTTGTTACTTCCCACCTCTGTGGTCAATGAGCGCTGTGGCAGTCAAACAACTACAAAATAAAACAAGTTTTAAAGTAAAATGTACATCACCCTATAAGTAGTGATGTTTCTACAACTGTTATTTTTGGGCATGTGCACATCATCATTGTTTATGAGACTGTTACAATTCATTAGCCTCAGTTAAAGTTTTATCATATCCTGACCTCAGGGCAGACACATGTTCAGTATTTCTAATACACCTAACTGTTTTAAGATTACTGGTGTTGTGTACACACACTACTGTGAACAACAGTGTTTAGAGCCACGGCAGTTTAAATCTCACATGTTAAATTATATGAACTGTATAATGTTACCTTATTTTTGTTTACTGCAGTTGCTAAAGGTTTGTTGTTAAGATGTAACATCGTTCTCATTTTCTAAACCACCGGCCTTTATCAAGCATGGTTATTATATATGATGTCCATACAATGTTTTGTACTGGTTGTGGAGTTAAAGTATTACTTTTGGTGATCACCCAGAACTCGTAGAGCAGCAGCTAAATATGATGTCAGTGTTATTTGTTTGGTTATAGGAATGTTGGTTAATTTTAAAGGAACATATTCAGTGCAAATGCCACTTTTTCACCAAGAGACACTACAGTTAAATAAAACTTTATACTTATTAAGTCTCTATCTACTGTATAGTGTGTGTCTGTCAACTATACAGTCTGCTGCTACTATCAGACTTGCACTGTGACTCTGGCTTCAACAGGGCATGTGTTAAATGTCAGAAATACTTCACTGTAGTTGCTCCAGTTTCTCTGCTCTAAGCATCTGGAATTCATTAAGTGGGTGTTCAGCTACTGGACAGCATTGTAGCTTCCTGACTCCACTGTGGGGGAAAAAGGGCAGCGGGGTGATATTTACACTTGTGGGAGTTTGCTACACAAAGACCACTGGTTTTTGTGTCTGTGTGTCTGGCCAGTGGTAATTAAAAAAGAGAAGGACAAAGCTCTTTCAGCATTGGAAATCACCATTTTCCAGTTTCAGATAACTTTGTAGATAGAAGTAATTGGCCTGACTATATTGGCGTATGTAGAGCTACAGTATAACTCTTATGTTTAGCATGCTGTTTTAGCATTGCATTCAAAGTACAGCAGTGGCTCATCAGAATTTGGTGATTTAGGTTTTGAGGTATTTTGCCTTTAACTGAAGTGTTTGGAAAATGTTACCTGCTGGTGGCGCTACAGAAAAGGCAAAAGATACTAAAGACATTAGAATTCTTCTCATGAATCTTGAATAGCAAATCCCAAACAATCCATCCAGTAATTGTCGAGATAACATCTATCCCACCCACTATTGGTGGGTGGGATAGATGTTTTGACAGAGGCAATATGAATACTGAAAGGAAAAGCGATCATGTAAACATGATGCCTTCTTCCCACTCACCCACCTCCCTGCTGGCGTGTGCCTGTATTTTCGTTGTTTTACCAGCATCCTGTCTTTGAACCTCCACATCCAGCTAGCTGCTTCAAAACTGCTAAAGCTGCATTTGTCATTTTACTCACATGAGACTTGACTCCTGATATTTGTCTTCCCATCTCATTCTGCCAGAATTTCCCTGATTTTTATCTGTTTTATGTCCTTCGCTGACTGCATGACAAGGCTTCTATTGTATATGGATTTAGTTGTCCCATAAGGCCCCTGCTGCTCACCGTGCTTCAGAGGTTTGGTCTGTAGGTGTGGTTTTATGTGGAATGTAGAAGGTCACATTGAGCCCAGTGGTTTAATTAGTATCACATAGATGGGCTACTCATCCCAAATTGCAGCTTCTTTTAGTCATTGTAATGTTTAAAGTAATGCACTGGGCTTTTTCAAGAGTCACTTGGCTAGACCTTAAATTTGTAGGTTGCCTTATGTTTACTTCCAGCAAAGGTCAAAGAACTATGAACATCTGCACACTGCTGGTTGTTCCTCACAGCTGTGCAGTGCACAAGGCCAAGGCTCTTCAGTGCATGTCAGCTTTATCCACTCTTTTTTTCTGTACTTTTTTCTTCTCAATGAAAACTTATCTCTTTATCATTAGGAAGATTTCCCATAGCATTTAGTTTAGTTTGTAGCTGTTGGTTTTGGCAAACCAACTACTTTTGATATCTCTGTGGTAGATTTGTTTGCTTTTTTTGTCTTATTATTATCTTCTTCACTTGCACGATCGCCTCTTTACTCCTCATATTGACTCCATCTCAGTCTAAACAACAACTCTCAACTCTCATTCTCCTCTGAGCTACACGTGAGCACTTTTATGTATGAAGTGAGACTGAAATGAGACACAGCTGATCAAGAAACCTTTAGTAGCAAAGTGTTCAATCGATTTTGAACCCTTGCAGTTTGGGCATTACGTGTTAAAGGGCTATATCTCGTGCACAATTCTTTCTATATTAATGTAAACTTACTCAAATCAAAGCTGAGACTTGACAAATAATGGACACTAGTATCCATTATTTAATTTCAAACTGAAGCAAGACCAAATAATGTGCAATTGTGTGAACACAGTCGGGACTGTAAGCCTCTTCTCTTGCAGGTGTTGGTACACCGAGCTATGGTAATGCAGCTTTGTATCAGCTTGACTATATAATGTCTTGAATGTCATTGAAATTCATGTCGCATATTAGTGACCACAGGGTCGTCGTGATTCCATCAGCTCTGGATGTTGGATAATTCTCTGGTGACAGCCCCAGAGGATCAAATGAATGAAATAACTCTGCTCTTTGTTCAGCCAATAACAAAGATATTAATGATGACCTTTGCAGTTCTTCATCCCATGGGGGGCATTCAGCAGTGCTTATTGTTCTTTTCCCAGTGCTTATTGTCATAATCGTTTTCACACCAGTCAGTCAGTCTGTGTCTTCATTGTCAGGAAAACTATTTTCATTTATTAGCTACAGCACTGATGGCTGCAGCTTGGCCATGTCTACAAGATCACCTTTTCTGTATTTTTGCCATATTGATTGTTACCAAAGATCATTTTGTAGTCAAACAGTAAGGCAACAGGGTTTCTGTGATTGTCTTTTGATGATGACTCTTGTTGCATTTACTTCTGCTATTGTATTTATACCAAACAAATCTGTCAAAAGCTTGGAGTGCATTATATTTGGGTTAAAATAGGCTTGACCATCTCTTGGTGTTCAGAATGACAAATGTAGTCTTTGCAAAAGTTTTCCCTACTAAAACAGTCAATTGCAGAAAAAGAGAAGAAAATATTTTTATTTTGATAAAGAATGGTACTGTACATACATAACAAAGAGAGCTTTATAAACTGTTTTTAACCAGACTTTTTTCTTTCTTTTTAAACCATCCCCTCCTGTCTTTCACAGTCGCGGCTGGGGCTGGTGCCTCGATGATCCCCCGGTGGAGGAGAAGCAGTCTCTGTACTCTGTGCTTCCTGGGGTTCTGTACAGCGCTGCCCATCAGTGCCGACTGCAGTATGGATCTGGGTCCCTGCTCTGTGATGACATGGACGTAAGATTCTTTATAACAAGTACATCAAAATAAGCCATGTTCAGTTGTATAGAAAAATGTGGGAGGGGACTAAGGAAGATATTTCCCACCATCCTCCTTGGAAATTACTGTACGCTCTTACATGTTGGTTCCAGTTCAGTTGTATTCCACTTGACAAAAAAAATGAAATTATTGCCCTCAGGTCATTTTGAAAAGCCACAAGACAAACAAGATTATGAAGAAATGGTAGCCTGAAGAAGCAGTAAGAGAATTATTAAATTAATTGAGATGTCAACATTTTCACAATCCCAAGGAATCTGGGACACAAGTTTTACCTGTCCCTGGGGTTAACTATAGTACACTAGGTCCTCATAATGAGTTTTTCAACTTTTTCAATTTGCTGTGCCAACAACATGCACTATATGGATGATTTATTATATTCTTTGCCTGCTGACATCATTGTTTTTCTATTGTGGATGAACAATATTTGAGCAGATTAGGTGTTAGGACAGTGTCAGCAAACCCTTGGTTTCCACAACCCTTGGCACTTTACTGTGTGGTCATCAGTCTATTTCTTATTAAATTAGCAAATTCCCATCAAGCCAATTTTAGAGCTGACATTAGTTCACTCGTGCTTTTCTTCCATTAGCATTTCATAAGAATGTTTATTCAGATGACACCTTAATAGGTGAGTGTGACCTTTCAAATGTTAGATATTTGAGCGGCAGGTCTGTCAGTAATCATCTCACCTCACAATCTGATACTAACTATCCTTCATACATTTCCTATTTTTATTTGCCCAGACAGATTGGACATGGAGGAAAGGTAGCACCGGTTAACAGTGTCTTAAGCTGCATTCTGACTGAAAGTGTTCTGTAGCACTGTATTAAAAGACTGCAAGAGTTGTCCAGTTTGAGTAGTATACCCATACGTTTAAGGCTTATCAGGCATGTATAATTCTAAAGAGTGTTAAACTTAGATATCTTACAGCAAAACTGTAAGACCAGCCACCTTAGACAAAGGCCACAGTTAGACAACAGTGGTGCTGTAAATGCTAAAATGTAGTGTAACAGGTAAAAACACCAGGTTTCTTCCTTTGGCCTTGCCTGACAATTCAAAAAACAATGTACTGTATATGGAAAATTATAACATACAGTATTGTGTACACAGGGATAATACAGACAGTACTTTTTACTTCGCTTTATACTGTCCTTCCTGACCTTTTTCTGCAGGCACAAGGCCAGACTATGGTTTTTGTTTTTCCAGCTTGATTAGCTAAAACACCTTTTGATAGCTGGGATTGGATAACATTACTAAATGATGATTAGAGGTACAGAAAATTAAATGGAATGTGTCAGCAGTATAGTCGTCTTGAAGAAAAATAATACTTTTTCAGTTATTCTGAAAAAAAAATTGCACTTGGTACAACATGTTGTTTGACCTCTTTGGAAGGCAAAACTGTTTTGCAGTTGTTCTGCAAGGGCTGAGTGAAAAGCCAGCTGTCACAGGGCGGCGGACATGCAGTATCATTTAGATATGAGGATAACAGGGCACAGTCTCTCCTGTTTGCATAAGTGTCAAGAATGAAAAAATAAACCTGGAAAAGAAGTTCAGACACTGATTCCTTTCTCAGCTCTGCCCAATAAGCAGAAGATAATGATGGAGTACTAATAGAGTATACTGGAGACTTAAGGGGTCCCATGTGTGGTTTCATTTGCTTGAGCATGGCCAGACAAACTACAGTCTCTCACAGAAGACCAGCCCCAGAGTGATGACCTGAGCTTTAACTCACTGCATAAGTAAAACACACGTCTTACTATAACTGTTGGCAGTAATGTGTCAGTGAATGCATGAGACAATTACAGCTGGAGGATTAACAAGCAGATGATTAACAAGGCTCGAACCAGTCTCAGTATCCAAGCTCACTGCTGAACAATCTCCTTGACTTAATGCTTTTTTTTTGACACAGGACTTTATGTTTGGGGCTGGGGGAGCTCACATAATAAAAACTTAACAGAATTTGAGATTCAAGATTCCAAAATAAATGAACACAAACATTTATAATCTGTAATTTGTTCATCTCTAACTGTCTGAACTACAAGTCGCTACTTTCTAAGAAATGTAGGAAGTTAGGCCAGTAATTTAATTACACACTTTGATGATGATCATGGCAGCGTAACAGCCCTCTCACAATGCTACAGTACCCTTCAGGCCTTGTTGCCCACAGTGAATTGTTTCTGCTGCACCTTGAGGAAATGGATGCGATTGGTTTGATTCTGATCTTCTGAAGTTATTATGCAACCCAGGAAATAATGCAGTTATTGTTGATACTTAACAGAAATGATATAAAGTAAAACAACAGGTTTCCCTGTCCAGGCAGCACACACTCTACAGTTTACTGCTCATTGTCAAAGGAAACATTAGTTCTGACCTCTATCTGGGAGCCGCTTTTGTGCCAAGTTTCACATAGAAGTGTAAACACGAAGTTACACTGGCTGTGGCTTTGTAGTATAGACTTCTGTGTGTAAGTACTGGGCACAGCTGCTGTTTGGGGTAGCTGCAGAGACAGAGTCGGTAGAATATCTGATTATTTTAGCTTGAGAGGGATTTTCTATTGGTTTGTTTGCTTTTGCATGAGATGCAGCCAGGAGGATGTCAGGGCAAATCCTGCTAAAACTCTTTGACAGGGGTGGCTCCCCTAGCCATCTGGAAGGTCGAGGAGACTCAGATCCTGGTTGTGGGCTCTACTGATCTGTTTTTAGAAACTCCAGTCTTGCAAAATTTCCATGGAGTGTGACCTTCCGATTTATGTCTACATACAGAGCCAGACTTTATGTTAGTACTCACTGAAGTTGCAGATGATTCACTGGAAAAGTATTGCTCACAGGTCACTGTTAATAACTGCATGCTGAAAGATCAAATGCTGAAATTGTTTATATCTCAAAAAACAACCTAATTTGCCAAAAAGCAAAATGTTCACAGATTTTTACCACTGTGGGAAATATTCTCCACTTTTTTCTCCTTTTTTATCATTCATTACTGCTGCAATGTTTGTAAAAGTTCCTTTTTGAGCTGCTGCTGGTTTTGTGGTGAGTCTGACAGCTCATACACTGCAACTAAACAAAACAAGGAAATTCCACTGATGTGACAGCACATGCACAGCATAATACTTTTAAATGAATTTAAGTTAATTTGCTTATTCACTTTCTTGCTAAGAGATAGATAATACCACAAGACTGGAAACAGGGTGAAAAAACACCATTGACTTTATTCAACAGTAACAATAATCCTACTACCAGCAGCACTAAACCTGACTAATTAGCCCATTATGTTGTTTTATCCATACTAATACTCGAGTGCAAAAATGACATTATTAGATTAGATTATATTAGATTAGATTAGACTAGACTAGATCAGATCAGATTCGATTCATGGTGCAGTGTATGGGTATTATGTGGTGGACTTTTGCTTGGCCAGGCTCTGGCTGCTAAACAAGACTCCAAGAACAAATCCAGCACATACAGTAAGCCCCCGTAAAACCACAGCATGTAACTTTACACTTGGGGGTTTGTACAGAGCCAGGGTACCTGTTTTTCCCTGGTTCCAGTGTAATCTTAGCAGATTGGTGTCTGATAGTAGCCTGATATTTAACCTGCAGATATGAAAGTGGTATTGCTCAGTGAGAAAGCACATTTCTCCAAATGCTGCTGCAAAGTACAGAGCTTAAATTTCTGTGCTTTCATTGTAAATTGACATTATACGTCCTCAAAAATCTGTAGCGCATGATCTGTATAAGTGCAGTGGTGGTTGCTGATGACCAAAGGGAAAGATCAGAATTCAGTACATACTCCCAAGGCCATTATTTCATAGAGACCATTCATTCAGTGATGGTTTTCTAGGAGTTTTGGGTGTCAGCGGTCCTTGTGGAATAACTTTAGCCTGTAATCCTCATTTGATCTGTGTCTGAGGGGGTGACATGGCTTATCACACACAGACAGATGAGACAAGCACAACCTATACAGTGCAAATCAAACTACTTTTATTGTGTAAAACACCAGCAGTAACTAATAGCACAAAGAAAGTCAAATGCAGTAGCCTATTTACTGTATATATGAGTGGGGAAAAAGGTAGCAATTGATTTCATTCAGTGTCTCTGCTTGCATACTAAATGTTACATTGAGTAAATGAATAGTAAACAACACTGTGTTTGAAAGACAAACCGGTCACAGAAGTTAGACATTATTTTTTACTCTGCTGTCGTAGAATGTGTGCAGCACTCTGTGGTGCACCGTGGGAGCAACCTGCCACTCAAAGCTGGACGGGGCTGCGGATGGGACGAGATGTGGGGAGGACAGGGTAAGTCTGCATGACCGTAAAAGGAGCAAGGCACAGGGATCGTGATGAGAATGTTGATTTTGTTGTTAACAAACAGCAGAGTTTGATTTCTAAAGGGGGAAGCTTTAGTTCATGGGAGTCTTTTCCTGTTTGGACAAAGACTGAGATCATAGGAGTCAACATATGGAGACGGGGCTGAAGCCAGACTTTTGGAACCTCAACAGATTACTACACTGCCCAGCCTCACCCCACAAATGTGGTTGTTTCTTGATATTATCATTAGTAATACTGAAAAATAAGAACTGTGGCATCAGACATTTGGTGAAACTAACCCTACACACACTTTGCTGCATGCCTCACAGCAGCCAGGGGGAAGAATGAGGTGCATTTAGGTTAAGTTAATGTTTAAAGTTTTTTTTTTTTCCTTGAAACACAGATATGTAACAGTGTTCTAGGTTTCCCATAGGAAATTGTTTAACAGAGGTTGTAAGGCACCCAGGCCCTGATACATCTTGTCTCTTGATGACCAAGCAAAAACCAAACTACAGTTAAAATACTGAAAGCAAGACAATGAAATAGACCTGATAAGACTTAAACCATCTCTTCAGCTCCCATGGAAAGTGTGAAGATAAAATATACAAATATGCACAAAACTGTTACTGTAATAGTCTGTAATGTGTTACAGACAGAATGGTGCATCCAAACCTTACAGAGGATGGGCCGCAGCTAGAGAAGACAATGACCTGACCTTTACTGTCAGATAAGAGCAAGAAGATAAAGTTAACATGTTTTTTTGTTTTGCCAGTGGTGTTTCAATGGGGAGTGTGTAGCAGTCGGATATCACCCTGAGAGTGTAAATGGCGGCTGGGCATCCTGGAGCGCGTGGTCGGTCTGTTCGAGGACGTGTGGGGCTGGAGTCCAGAGTGCCCAAAGAGACTGTGATAACCCAGTGTAAGCTGTATTTTTTGGCTACGCATACTTCAAAATGCTGAGAGGTATTTTTTACCCTTGTTACTTATCTTGAAAAATAAGGCCAAGCTATTCAAAACAGAAAAACACAAAGTGCACATTGTATGAATCAGAACTGTACCTTTTCTGGACAAGAGGGAAAAGAGCTCATCAGTTACGATTTAAAACTGAATCCATATCAGTGCCAATGAAATCTCAGCTGTAGAGTTATGGGGTAAAATAAAATACTGTTTAACTATACATAGAAGATACATTTTCAGGGTGTAATGCAGTTTCTTTGTATGAACGTGGACAGATAAGTTTATTTTAGCCGGTACATCAGCAGATATACTGACTGACATATGGATAATGACAGGGGCATCAGGAAGTAACTTAATTCAGATCTTACAGCCAGTATCAAAGTGTATGCTTGCCAACAAATGTAGCATGGTAAACTGCCACAACTGCCTCGCAAGCTGTTTTTAAAAAATATATACATTTTATGTTTTCTTTTACATTTTCTTATATTTGCTAAAAAAATGTTGGATATCAGCTTAAACACAATTAACAGATTTTTTTAAAATACTGATATCAGAATTAGTCTTAAAAGTCCAGTTATCAGTCACACTCTACCACAAATTAGTTGTCCCTTTAATTTTTATGCTTTTTGTGTGTGAGTAGAGTAGTAACATAGTTTTTCTGTTGGATTTGATCAAATATGTAAAGCAAACTGTGTCATTTACACAGTGCAGCTCTTACCCCACAAAATATGGAGTTGTTCAGGGAGAATGGTGTCTTATCATTAAACCATTTAGTTCTTTCTGCTGGTGTTAACAAAGCTTCAGCCAGTCACCTAAATGAAATGGAGCAAATATTAGCTCATGTATGTAAAGCAGCTCCTTTTTACTTCAGCATTTGCCACTATATCCCAACAGGCTGAGCATCAAAATCAATGAGCAGCAGTGAAATAACATACTGTATCTGACTTTCCTGCAGCCCTAGGTACAGAGGGAAGTATTGTCTGGGAGAGCGACGAAGGCACAAGGTCTGTAACACCACGTCATGTCCCCATGACCTGCCCACCTTCAGAGACATCCAGTGTAGCCACTTCAACACCATGCCTTACAAGGGAAAGTTATACCAGTGGGAAGCAGTCATCAACAGAGGTGAGCAGATCAAACTTGATTCAAATTGTACACTACTTATTCATGATTATCACCCCTCGGTCTGTTTTTTCTTCTCCCAAAACTTTCTCAGTCCACCCTTGTGAACTGCACTGTCGTCCACTGAATGAACATTTTTCTGAAAAGATGCGGGACGCCGTCACAGATGGGACGCTGTGCTATGAAGGCAGCAAAAGTCGAGATATGTGCATCGATGGCATCTGTAAGGTATCAGTACTGTTCATACTACCGTCTGATAAATAATATGCTTTGTTGTGTCCCCTTCAGTGTTGTTCTCCAGGATCCTGAGCAGTGTTGATTAATTATTCCATTCTTGTATTTCCGTTTCATCTCATTGCTTTGATGCTTTTTCAGTCCTGCAGTACATCTAGTTGTTCCTTTCCTTGTTTCCTCTGCAGGCGAGTGTTGTACATTTGACATTCTGAATGAAAATGAGCTTTGATAGAAAAATGCGATAGCTGTTTTCTCCGAAGATAACAGCCTGCTCTTGCCTATCGCTCAGGGCCAAAATGCCAGTTACCGATACAAACGCTCTTTGGATACCGATTGGACAGCAGTTGCAGACATTTTGTGACATTATTGCCCTCCACCTACCCTTTCTGCTGTACCTTCCCCATTTAGTAGTTTGGAGAGTCACTATAACATTAAAGACCAAAAGAGGGTTTTTTTCCCATGTAAAATAAACAGTACACGTATGTAAATGTTAAAGAAACTGGCACAGAATAGAAAAATAAAAGCTTTCTGTGCCAAAGAAAACTACTAGTGTAGATACAGTTGTCACCTACTTTAATCCAGTCAATTTTTCATAACATGTTCCCTTCCTGTATTTCAAATGATGGTGCTGTGGAACTTGCTGAAAAGTATCTAACTACTTTTACTATACCAGTACTATACTTCAGTATGATTTTTGAGAACTTGTACTTTACTTAGGTATTTTCATTTTCTGCTGCTTTATACTTTTGATTGCACTACAGAACATCTCAGAGGAAAACTTTGTACTTTTCTCTCATTACACATATTTAATAACTTTAGTTACTGGTAATGTCTGATACAACTTATTTCCTTTCTGATCCCATACCAAGTGAAATCCAGGCTGGTATCGTCGTTACCAATACCGATATTTTGTGCCACAAAACAAGGGGAAAAGAGATTGGTCCAGACAACAGAGACTGATGTGTTATTATAGTGTAGGTTAAGATCAGACAAGACTTTACTGATCAAATCAAATTCACAAGGTACCTAACAGAACAGGATAAAGTTTTGTACTTTAAATGTATTTTTAATGCTTTAAAAAAATGTACACAAAATTTAAAATTTGTGACTTTTACTTGTAACAGAATATTTCTGCACTGTGGTAGTGCTACTTTAACTCAAGTGAAAGTTCTCAGCCAGTGCCTTTTTTAAAATTTGGATTACATATTGTGTCTTTAACCGCACCAGATGTGGGCAACAGCACAATGTGGAGTGTGACAATAAGCACATTGTATCACCTGCCACATCTGAACAAGTAAAAAGTTCTGTGCATGAGGGAGAGGAAGCAGGTCCTGATTAAAGGCTTAGCAGATCTGTATTTGGATGAAAAATTGGAAAATGTGTCTTTTATCTAAATCCCTCAAGAAGGAAAAGATAAGATAAATTCATTCCCCAATTTTCACGTAATGTTTCTTATCTTATTTTGCCCTTGCTATGTAATCACTGTAAGCTGTATTCTAGATAATGTCCTGTGGAATATATTGTATTTCAGAATATAGGCTGTGACTATGGGATTGACTCCAATGCAGTAGAGGATCGCTGCGGGGTGTGTCACGGTAATGGATCCACCTGTACAACTGTGAGGAGAACATTTGAGGAGAGTGAAGGACTCGGTATGTATGTTTCAGTGTGAGAGGTTAAGCTATGTTCCTTTATCCAGGGGTTAGCATATGATGGCCTTCAAACATGCCTAAGGATGGAGGAGAGGAAACATAATGAGCAAAATGGAACACACCCCTGGTATTGTACATGTTGGCTCTCTGTCTCAGTGTCATAGCTTACTAGGGCACTGCAATAAAACAGAGCCAGCATTGATGCTGTTGTTATTATTAACACGTTATTACACAGAATGTCTGCTGTGAGAAAAGGACCACAACCTGTCAAACAAGTCATTGTCTTGCCACAAGAAGAAGGACATGCAGTATGGAACTGCAGACTACAATCATTTTAAACATATGTTAAAAAAATCAAATTGTAGGTTGTGCGTTGTGCTTTATATTATGGCCATAAAAAACACTGTCATTAGTAGGAAGCTGTTGTAATGTGTCAACAAATTATTCGCAGCACACGTTGAGTTTAACTGCAAGTACCTATAAAACAGCAATTACCTTTCATGCTGCATTCCCAGTTACCTCAGTGTTAATTCACCTAACCATCTGTTAAAGTGACTACCAACAAAGCTGGAAACATGGATCACTCCTTTCTCAATTCTGCTAAAAAAATCCCTGAAGCCTAAAGCCATCCAGGGTGGCATTTTTCTTCTGTGTCTGTTAACTGTCTATCATGGTTAGTTGTTGTTTCAGTTTCACTTACTGTAACATCATGTCCTTCAGGCTATGTAGACATTGGGCTGATCCCAGAGGGAGCCTGGGATATCCGGATTGAAGAGGTGGCTGAAGCTGGGAATTTCTTGGCACTACGAAGCGACAACCCAAACAAGTATTTTCTGAATGGTGGCTGGACGATCCAGTGGAATGGAGAGTACAAGGCAGCTGGGACAATATTCACTTATGTGAGGACAGGACACCTGGAAAACCTAGTGTCTCGTGGGCCCACCATGGAGCCACTGTGGATTCAGGTAGGATTAACAGCTTAACTTCATGCTTTCATGTTACAGCATGTTGATGGCATACTGTACTGTTTAATTTAAGAGCCAGATAAGCAGGGGGAAACTGAGGAAAACAAAACTTACACATGCATTATCACTACTTTGGAGACTCCTCACTTGTCATCGTTCTAAAGAGCCTGTCAAGAAGTGCATGACTCCTACTTTTCTGTATGTCTTCCTTGTTTGTAAGATACTGTTGTGTTTGTTACAGCTTCTCTTTCAGGAGACCAACCCAGGTGTGCGTTATGAGTACACAATCAGTCGGAATGTCTCAGAAGACAACAACATCACTGCCTCAGTTTTCTTCTGGAAATATGGTTCATGGACTGAATGCAGTGTTACATGCGGAACAGGTAAGAGAAACACTTTGGTCTCCTCATAAATACTGTAGAGGGAGAGAGAAAGAGTCCTGTCAGAGTGGTTCTGAGAATGTTTCACTTTTAAATGCAGGTTCCGGAGTCCTGCTAAACTTTGATAACATACTGGGCCTTTATATGGGAGCTGAAACACAAACACAAGCAGTAATATTATACTGTATATTGGTACAATATTTCCATAGACTCGAAATTCATTTGGATTTACATGTCATTCTTGTGCTGTCTGCAGTGCAACAAGATAGGAAATTCATCAAAATGAGATCATAGAGGATGAGGCAGTTACTCGTTTGGAGAAAGGTGGTAAAATTCAAAAGCTCTGGGTTGATATAGAACAGTACTGGAAGTAAAATTACATTTTTCATACGTTTTTATGTCCAGGTACACTGTTTTACAGGATACAGCACAGTATTTGAAGAGGTGAATTATCCCTTTTTTGGTCAATGGTATTTAAAAATCGTACTTTAATATATTATTATTTGATAATAGAAAAGGCAATAGCTTAGGAAAAATAATCATTTCATTTGAAACTATACTGGAAGAAGTTCTAAATTAAGATTTTACTTTTTAATCAGTCTGTTTCATAGCATTTGATGTTACATCTTGTTTTTAGAAATGTGTCGCTAGCGTTCACTTTAAGTTATTTCTGGTGTGCTAGATGTCACTAAAGCTGTACTCTCCTCTCACTGGTACTCCAGGTGTTCAGAGGCAGATTGTCCACTGTGTGGAAAAGACAACGGGGATAGTGGAGGAGCACTTCTGTGACCCCTTAACCCGACCTGACGATAACCAAACCATCTGTAACAAGGACCCGTGTCCAGCCAAGTGAGTTCAGCTCCCAGACATTATTTACAAAATGACACCAGCACTATTTGTAGACACATACCAAGATAAAGACACTTGTTTTTTTAACCCATGCAAGAGCAAGCAGTGTGTGTTTTGCATGAATTCAAATAACATACTGTCAGTTGCCATTAACTGCTGATGTGACAGCTTTTATACTGTAGATTACCAGACACTGAAATTATGTTTTTGTTTTCTTTTATCATATCTTAAGACAGAATCTTGAGAAGTGGCTTACCCTTGCAGATTTGGCACATTGCTTTGTGCATGTTGTAAGAACAGCAGGAGCAATTTTGTGCTGTCATTGGAAGATCAGAAACATTTCCTGCTGTTATAAATCAGCAGTTTCATGGGTAATCTGTGTAACTGTTTTATTTTGTGTATGCCTAACTTTCTGCATAGTGGCTATTGATTAGGTTTATTTTGCAGTAAATCAAGAGTTGTGTGTCTAATGACACTGTCAAACCAGCCAGCAGGGCTTTTTTTAAAAACAATTTTGTTATACACCATATATAAATTTGCACATGCTGCTATCAAATACAACTTTTGATAATGACAATGCCTATAAAATCATACTCTGTGAACCTTGCTAACAGCCATCTAAAGCCGAGTTGTCTATGATTATACTGCTGTTTTCACTCACAAATGTACCATTACATTGGAAATCTTTGCATCATTTGTTTCTCTGTGTGTAGATGGTGGGTTGGGGAGTGGCAGAAATGTTCAGCGACCTGTGGCAGCTTGGGCCTAACTAAAAGGACAGTGCTCTGCATCCAGGCAGTGAGTGTGGAAGAGCAGAAAGCCCTGCAACCCACTGAATGCAAACACATACCCGAGCCTGAATCACTGTCCTCCTGTAACACGCACATCCCCTGCCCTGCAGACTGGACCACTGGCAGCTGGTCAAAGGTGAGTGCGGGGTGGAGTATGAGTGTTAGGTTCGGTGACAGCTGTGCTGTTTCAAAAGGAAATGAAATGCAAATTCGATCTGCTGTGTCGGGGCTGTGTCTTTCTGATGGACGAGACTGAAATATCTTAATTTATATTTCTGTGCTTGCATTTACTTTAAGAATTTTACTCAGTTCCCCAATTTAGGTTAATTTTAAAACTTTCTAGTTTTTGCTTTTATGAAAACATTTCTATGTTTTGCTTAGTGTGTCATTTTTTGCATATGAAGCACATTGTAAATGTATTGGTTTGGCAAAATACTAGTGGCACTCCTAATGCATAAAATTAACATTGTTCTCTTTTTCTTTCCTGTAGTGTTCACTGACTTGTGGAAGTGGAGAACGTCACCGTAATGTAATCTGCTCTAGGAATACAGGTGTTGACTGTGACCCTGAAAAGAAACCCTTAGCTGTCACTGCTTGTTATGTTCAGGACTGTCCGCAGATTACAGACAATTTTGGAGATACCGACTGGTCTGGAAGCGGCTGGTCATTCAAAGAAGTGCTCAATGAAATTAATTCCATACATGAAGCTAAACCTCCACCCAAATACAGCAACACCAGGTCCCAAACCAGTAATCATAACAACTTTAACGACATTGTTGAGGGTGATTTTCACTACCATGGTAGCACTGAAAATATTGACCATAACCGTGTTCAGGTTGATGATTTTTACTATGATTATAACTTCATCAACTTTCATGAAGACTTGTCAGATGATTCTGAGAGCAATGAAAAAGAATCTGAGGACAGATTTAGTAATCCACCGCAGGACAATCCAACCCACAGTGTGAAAGTAAATACCTCTTTTGAAACTACAAGAGCCCCCACAGTTAATTTAGACATTTCTACAAAGGCCACTGCCAGCACTTTGAATAGTGAAGAGACACAGCGCACAAATCTGGACAGTGTGCAGGACAATGGAAATACAGCAACAAAGAAGTCTATGCAAACAAATTCTAAACAATTGGATGATTTTCTTTCTGAGGATTATCTTCTGCCCATTGCTACAACTCGCTCACCACCATTATCCACAAATGAGCATTTACAAACACTCAAAAAGCAACATGACAGTGAGAACATTAGCACAATGCCTAGTCCGGCTTTCACTACAAAAGAGCCTACACATGATGTGAAATGGGAACAACATAGCGAGGATGCTGAGAATAACTATGACGATTTCGAGGAGGAAAGTCATTCTGAGGACATTACTGTGACTTCAAACCATGCTGCTGAAAAAAGTATACTAGGTTTGGACATTTCCGCAGATCAAGAAGATGTAGAGAATCCAGAACCGTCAAGCTTTCCCACACCAGAAACTATAAATCAGGTTAAGGTTGAAGAAATACCTCAAACAACTACTCAGTCAACTATATTTCCACTTGCCTTCACATTGAAGGATGTGGACTTGGATCAGACTAATTCTAAATCAGTATATGCCACTAGCGAGGGTAATTCATGGGATACTGACCTTGACCTCAGTGCAACCTCATTTTCTGCCTCAGAGAAGTCCACTTCTCTCCCTATTCCCTTTCTGCAAATCTCAGGGAACCACTCCACATTGATAACTGGAACAGAATTCATACCTCGTACCAACCCTAAGGGAGCGACTCAGGCTTCTCCGGCTGATTTCCCTCCAGCTATGATAGAACAGATACCTACAAAACCTGCCTTCACTGACAGAACTGGAACAGATTCCACATCCCAAGTTCCATCGTTTGATGGAGCAGATTTTGAATACAATGAAATAGTAATCCCTCCGATGGTGAGGAGCAGCAGCAAAAGTGATCTTGACCCTCCATACAAGCTTCCAACAAATGCAGTAGCCACTCCTCAGCATAGCACAATACCAGTAAAGCACATGGAATCACAAACACCTACTGTGCCCACTTTACCACCTCGTCCACCTGGTCTGGGGCCGCTTCCAGTGCCAACGCCTGTCCAAACTTCAACTTCCACAAAAGCCACTGCTGCCTACTGGGTCACTGGCAACTGGAGCACTGTGAGTCCACACATTGTGCTGTTGTACTTTGACAGCTTTGCCTCACTATTTGTAACTCTAGTTTTGGTCCTGGTATACATTCACCTGAGTTATTTGGAGGCAACATTTGACCTAGAACTAATGCAGCTTGTCACTTTATGAATGAGTTTTGAATTAGAATTACTATTGACTTTTTTTTGAAGTTTTATTTTTATATTTTTATTTGAAAATAGCTTCTATTCATATCCCTCTCTATCAAACATAGCATTTAAAGAATTGGCATTTAATCGTATACCATAAAAATGCTTGAGGCCTGACCACAGTGCACACAAAACAGTCTGGGAATTTCACAACTCACATTGTTGTCAGTGAGGCTTTTTGTGCATGCTTGAGCTGCTTGTGCATCCAAGTCTCAATTAGTCCAGTGTACTGTGAGTACTCTTTTAATGTGTTATTATGTATGTGGGCAGTGCTCTACCAGCTGTGGCCTGGGTGCCATCTGGAGGACTTTGGCTTGCAGTACTGGCTCAGACACTGACTGTGATCCAACGAAGAGGCCGGCACCAGCACAGCAGTGTTACCTGCGCCCCTGTGCTACATGGAAGGTTGGAGAATGGAGTAAGGTGAGAATATGGTGATATGAGTGACACAGTATTACACTAAAATGTATGATATGGTCATCATTTACAGTGCCTTGCGAAAGTATTCGGCCCCCTTGAACTTTGCGACCTTTTGCCACATTTCAGGCTTCAAACATAAAGATATAAAACTGTAATTTTTTGTGAAGAATCAACAACAAGTGGGACACAATCATGAAGTAGAACGAAATTTATTGGATATTTCAAACTTTTTTAACAAATAAAAAAACTGAAAAATTGGGCGTGCAAAATTATTCAGCCCCCTTAAGTTAATACTTTGTAGCGCCACCTTTTGCTGCGATTACAGCTGTAAGTCACTTGGGGTATGTCTCTATCAGTTTTGCACATCAAGAGACTTAAATTTTGCCCATTCCTCCTTGCAAAACAGCTCGAGCTCAGTGAGGTTGGATAGAGAGCGTTTGTGAACAGCAGTTTTCAGTTCTTTCCACAGATTCTCGATTGGATTCAGGTCTGGACTTTGACTTGGCCATTCTAACACCTGGATATGTTTATTTGTGAACCATTCCATTGTAGATTTTGCTTTATGTTTTGGATCATTGTCTTGTTGGAAGACAAATCTCCATCCCAGTCTCAGGTCTTTTGCAGACTCCATCAGGTTTCCTTCCAGAATGGTCCTGTATTTGGCTCCATCCATCTTCCCATCAATTTTAACCATCTTCCCTGTCCCTGCTGAAGAAAAGCAGGCCCAAACCAGGATGCTGCCACCACCATGTTTGACAATGGGGATGGTGTGTTCAGGGTGATGAGCTGTGTTGCTTTTACGCCAAACATAACATTTTGCATTGTTGCCAAAAAGTTCGATTTTGGTTTCATCTGACCAGAGCACCTTCTTCCACATGTTTGGTGTGTCTCCCAGGTGGCTTGTGGCAAACTTTAAACGACACTTTTTATGGATATCTTTAAGAAATGGCTTTCTTCTTGCCACTCTTCCATAAAGGCCAGATTTGTGCAGTATACGACTGATTGTTGTCCTATGATATAGTATTATCTCCATTTTAGCCATGTTAGTGGTGTGGCTGTATGGACTGAAACATCTCCACACCTGGATACAGACATTCATGTCCACAGAGGATAAATCTTACTGATGATCACCTCATTGTACTTAGTGCCATTGTGAGGTCATATGATTGGATGATTTGTCATATCCAGTTTGGTAGACATGCATGTTTCCCTCAGGATAATTTACTTTGATGATCCTTTACCTTTAACTCTAATGCCACCATCAGCTCAAAACTGCACTTTGTCTTTCACTTTATGCAGTGCTTTGGTTTATGACCATATCTGTAAATATTTAGCATGCTAACAAGCTACTCAGATTGTGAACATGTATACATTATACAGGGTAACCACGTTAGCATTGTCATTAGTTGTTAATCTAGTTCAAAGCAACACTGTGTCTACATACAGCCTCACAAAGGCACTGTGATGATTTTATCTATTCAGGTCTTAGGCTATCCAGTTGTCAAAGGCAACCTGAACTGCTGCTTGAAGGCATTTTGCTACTCATCCATTGCTCAAAGCTGTCTTCAGTTCAGTGAGGCTTCTTGGGTGAATAATAAAACTGTTAAACCACATCAAAAGCAATTAAACCCATTAAAACAGCACAGTAAATCTGGTTTCCTTATACTTGTTACTACAATATGTACAGACTCATGCAGCTCATGCTGTTTGAATAACAATCGTGCCATATATTTTTCCAGTGCTCTAAGAATTGTGAAGCCGGAATTAAATCACGAGAGGTCCAGTGTTTTGACATGCGGGATCAAAGGCCCCTGCGACCTTTCCACTGTCGGGCCATGTCCTCCAGGCCGCTAGCCCAAAAACCCTGTAACCTTCAGCCATGTCTTGACTGGTACACCTCCTCTTGGGGTCAGGTGAGTCATATAAGGTGACTAATGAAAGATATTGTGGAAAAATGTAGCGGCATGTTTATAAACAGGACAGAAAGGAAGGCGACATTAGATACAAATTTTAGCATTATGCACATCAGACTGCAGGTAAAAACTTTTTAGGGTGTTATCTGCTGTGTGTATTCATTTGTGTTTTCATATGTCAATGTGGTATCAAAATGCCAGACAGGACAGCGTCTTCTCAAAACATGTCCTATGCATTTTCAACTTTCCAAAGGAAGTAGTGGAAAAAACGATAACGTCAGAACATTTCAACACTGTGTCAAAAGCACAGCTGAAATAACATGCTCATAAAAGATTATCAGTTTCTTTAAATTAGTGCATACAGTTTTTAAATCTTACTGTGCCATACAGTGTATTTATTTCAGAGCTTTTAACTCGCCAGCAAGTGGGACATTTCAGAACAATTTGTGCTTTCAGCTGAAGCACCATGCAACAGTTGTGTCACAAAAAAAGCCTAAATGGTCATAATTAATGGATTATCTATTTGAAGCAGATGCCAAATCTCTGCAACTTGTACTGTACTGAAATAAAAATAAAAAAAAACGTGGCTTCTTGAAGAGTTGAGAAAATGCATTCAAAGCTTAGAAAAAAATCTTGGTAATAATATAAAAATTTGCAGTGCAGTTGTGAGTCACACAAAAATACTGTGTGATCATTTGAATGTGTACAGTCCATGGTAAATAACACCCAGAGAAACCTCTTAGTGTGTACTCAGCACACTTGTACAATTGAATGCAACACTTACATCTTAACATCTGTGTTTATGATTTCAGTTTTTGGTGAAATTGTCATAAATGTATAAATTCAATTCTTTGTTTATTATTGAGGTCATAGTTAAAGGTGGTGTTGTACTGGATGAAATTATATTTAGAGGTGTCTCTATATTTTTATCCTCCCCAGCTACATACATGAGAGGGTCAGAATATTAGGAACACCTCTGAATATAGTGTAGTCCAATACAACACCACCTTTAACTATGACCTCAATAATAAACACAGAATTGAATTTGTGTTTATTTTTTATTTATGTTTATTATGTTTGTTTTGTCATTGTGTGCGTGTGCGTGGGTTTTGTTCAGTGCTCTGAGGTGTGTGGAAGAGGTCAGCAGCAGCGTTTAGTCACCTGTCCAGAAGAGGATCAATGCGACAGGGTTCTTCAGCCAAGCAACATTCAGTTGTGTAATACCCAGCCTTGTGCTCAGTGGCTTACTGGATCTTGGGGACAGGTACACCACACACACACACACACACACACACACACACACCACTTTGCATTGATTTAGATTCTTTTCCCTGCCCCAGCTTTAACCACAACCACTACTTGCATTATTATAAACTTAAACTAAGTCACCCTCCTAAAATGTAACGAAGAGCAAGACCAAGCCACCACAGTGTGAGTGTGTAAACAGCTTTGGGTTCCAATTACCATGATTCATAGACCAATTTCATGAAGAATGTACAGTAACTCCATGTCATTGCTTTTTAAACTTGATGTGCTGTTATTTCTGGAAAAGCAGAGGATCTAAATTACATTCTGAGGGACATTCTTACAAATATATAAGTCATTTATAATGGTTATCCCCGTTTTCATTTTCTTATCCACTTAAACTGTTCAGGGTCACATTGAAGAATCGGTGCACTTTCAGTGTTTCTAAATCTTTAAAAGAAATCTTGACAGACAAGTTAATACATTCTGTACAGTTGTCTGTGGAGATTCTCATTCATCCAGGTCATGGTATATCCAAAGACCTTAAAGTAGTGGTCTTGCTTGAGTTTCCTGAAGATGTTTCATCCCTCATTGGAGATGCTTCACTTCTGACTGACTGGAGTCATCAAGAACCTGAGTGACCTTGAAACTGTCAGTGGGTTGTTACCCACCCGGTCATCAAGTGGGTTAATACGATCACATGAGCCAAGGTATGGAAGGGTGTTAACCTGCCTGAGGAGGGATGTCAGGTCTGTACTGTAAGTGGGTGAAAAGTGCTATCATAGAACATCGCCACAGTTTAGAGATGGTCATTCCGGTTTGACGTACAGTAGATGACTTCTTTGACCCCCCTTTCAAACCACCTGTCTTTTCAGGCCAGGATGTGAACATTGCTGTCTTCAAAAGACTACCCCTATGGACTCTCCATATTTATTTATTTATTTATTTATTTATTAGGCTTTTTTTGGTCAACAAACAAAATTAGAATTGCAATTATTTTACACAAAAAAGCATAAACCATAAGGGTACATACATCCATTTGAATAAAAGCATGTATGCACACACATAATCATACAAAGAAAAAATAAAATAAATAAAAAACAACGTTATTGACCAAAGGTGTAGGCTGAAGCTAAAGCTTATTATGCCTACCCTTACTCCACACAAGCAGCACTAATGGACATAAATTTAATATAAAGAAATACTGAGTATTCTGAATATATATTTAGAAGAACATGCATTGTGATTATTATTATTATCATTATTATTATTATTATTGAGTATATCTTTTTATTACCATTCTTTTAGAAAGTATTTTAGACTGTGGTAATGAAGTAGCCATTTTTATTTTTGTTGTTTTGCCTTATAAATAAGTTTAGCAATACTCAAGTCTACCAAGTCATAAAATTTTAATGTTTTCAACTGAATAAACAAAGGATTTGTTGGGGTATTATATGGAGACTGTGTAATTAATCTGATGACCTTTTTTTGTAATAAAAAAGACTGGAGTAGTTCAGTGCATACACTCACTGGTCACTTTATTAGGTACACCTGTGTAATTGTATGTACTTCACTGCAACACTTCCTTCTTAACATCTGTGTTTATGAAGCTCAAAATGTTTCAGTTTGTGGTTAAATCATCATAAATGTATAAATTCAATTATATGTTTATTATTGAGGTCATAGTTAAAGGTGGTGTTGTACCACACTACATTATATTCAGAGGTGTGCCTAATATTGTGACCCTCTCATGTATGTCAGTGGGCAGATCAAAAATATACAGTACAGACACGTCTGAATATAATTTCGTCCAGTATAACACCACCTTGAGCGCGTGGCTTTTTGAGTCCACTTTGTTTACTGCACTCATGAGCCCATCTTCTGTAAAACAATTCTTTGAGCATGAGGAAGCGTATTGTGGTCTGTGGGTTTTACATGTTGAGTTCATGAGGTTGAAACCTTTCCAAAATAGAAACACATAATCAATATATCGTTTCCAAGATACAATTTTTTTAAATTTGTGACTGGTACAGTATTTGTTCTTTGTGCTGGTCCTTTTTGTTGTCCACTTTCTTTTTCCCTTGTTTGTGCACCTTGGTAGTGGGCCAAGTTGTGAAGGAAATTTCTGCTATAACTTCAGTATTTGCCATTTGTGTCTAGAATTGGTATTGACTTCTGTGAATGACCCTATACATCTTGTTTTTTCCTATGTCACACTGAGCTGGTGAGTTGGCAGGTTTTTAAAAGCTGACAGCCTATTACCTTACTGTGGATTGCATTTCTATCTCCCAGAATCCACATTTTCACTTATGATCAGTGTGGTGAATACACAGTCATACAGCTGCATGTAATCTTTTCATAACATTTTGCCTGTTATCTGATTTTCAGGTCTGTCTATAAAGACAGGTCTTCTGATCATCTTTTCAATCCCTGAACCATGTCATAGCAGTGGTAACTCCCCCTGCACACCATAAAGTACCACAGCATATATTATATTATATTATATTATATTATATTATATT